GTATGCATGTATCTATGCATATTAGATATACATATGTGTATATGTGCACTTGTATGTTTGTATATACACAACGATATGCAGGTATGCCTGTATTCAAGTATGTATGTATGGGCGTACGTACGTACGCATGTATATATGCGTGTAGTTTCGCTGTATGTATGTTTGTACGTATGCATGTATGCATGTATGTATGTAGGTAGGCATGCATGTATGTATGATGGTGTGTAGGTATGCATTTCTGTGTGTTCATGTACGTATGTATGCATGCATGCATGCATGCACGTGTGTATGCATGTCTGTATGTGTGTATGTGTGTATGTATGTATGTATGTATGTATGCATGCATGCGTGCATGCATGCATGCATGCATGCATGCATGCATGTATGTATGTATGTATGTATGTGTGTGTGTGTATGTATGTATATGTCTATGAAGGTCGGAGGTTGGGGGGTGGGCCCGACGTGAAACGGAGACCCCCCCTACCGGGAAATCGATTTCGGTTTCGGGTTCGTGTCGTGCGTGCCGTGCGTGCGTGCGGGCGAGGCGAAGCTGCGTGGGCGGGCGAGTGGAAATCCTCCTGTGGCTGGGCCGCGGCCAGACCAAATGATTCTCCTCCGGCGGCCGGTGGCGCGCGGTGACCCGCCGGTGTCCTGGTGGTATCCTGAAATCCTCCTGTGGCTGGACCGCGGCCGGACCAAATGATGCTCCTCCAGTCAAACGGTGGCCCGCGGTGTCTCGCTGGTGTCCCGCCAGTGTCCCGCCGTGGGTTGTGCATTTCAAAACATCGCCGCTTGCGGCGAACTATCCAATGCAAGTGTGCATGCAAACCGACATGCAGACCGAAAAGCACATCGAAATTGCACCGATGCCTGAACGCGCATGGCGGTGAGTTCGATCCGTCTAAGATTTTGTACTGAAGGATGGGGCTCGGACCGGAGGACGAGCATGTGTACGAGAAGTTCAACAAGCTCTTGGTGCCTGGGGGGCTGAAAGCTTTCATTGAGAGCCGCCCTGAATTCACATGGGACCCCAAGGCCAAGAAAGGAACGGTCATCACATGGGCACACGGTGCACGGCAGCCGGCAGTAGACGACGTGCCCGCAGTGGAGAACGCGCCGCCCGAGGAGGGCGTGCGAGCACCAGGCTTGGCCAGTGCGTCAGGTGTTGACGTGGGGACCCCAGCGCCGTCTGGAGATGCTGCCACCCACACGCAGGCGCCGCTGGCACCAAGCTTTGCTCCTGCCTCGAGCGCCCGACCTGCAACCATGGCAGCATCGGGTGGCGCCGCGATCAGTCACTGGCACCGCAGCGCGCACGTTCGACCACGTCGACTAGCGCTGAGGTGAGGTTCGCGAGATTGATAAGCGCACGCGGGGACAGCGCTGCACGACAATGTCGAGTGCGCTTCGCCAACATCGCCACATCACATCACGCTCACGTGCACAATCACACTACTCACTAGACTCCGCCCCACAGGCATCGTCAGAGCAACAATCGCCACTTTTGCCCATTGCTGCCCCCCCAACCTCCTTATCACCCGCAGGGTGGTCGTATACTGCGCCGATCCGAAAGTTCCCCCCATTTCGCCGCCGTGCTCGCCGCGGCCATCTGGGGGTGCGCGCGCAGGATCAAACTCGCGGCGAGGGCAGAGTCGGCGCGCCGATGGGCAGCCCAGCGCCCCGTTTGGCCGGAGGGGCCCAGTACAATGCAAGGGCAGAGCCTAACCCCCGCCCGGGGTCGCGGGATCGGGTTCCCCTTCCCAATGTAAAATTTTAAATCCCAAACGGTGTACTGACCCGAAATGAGCAAACGGCGTAGGACCTCATCGAAAAAAGCTTTCGGGTTCGGTCATACGACGACCCGAAAAGTTTATCGGCCGACCGGAAAGTGGCCAAATCCCATAGGACTTGTGCCAAAACAAAATTTCGGGCCCAGTTCGAACGACCCGAAAATGCGCAAACCGCTTAGGACTCCTTGCAAAAACATCGTTCTCGAGGTCTCCGGGCCCGATGAAACCGAAATTGGGCAAACCGCCTAAAAACTTCCTATCAAAAACGGTGTCTCGGTGGTTCCGGGCCTCGTCCGAAGGAGCCGCCGATGGGCACGCCGTTCAGGATTTCCTGCACAAGAAACGGCTTCCCGGGTGAGCCATTGTCAACGGGAGCGCGCCCCGCGCGGGATCGGGGTTCGCACGGGGGCGCGGCTGCTCTCGTCTGTCCAGGGGGCATGCATTGCCGCGCCCTTCCAGCATAGCGTTTGCGCTGCATTCGCGCGGCGCCGTGCCTCTCAAATCGGAATATACTTTCGGGGCGTCGATGTAGGTATGCATGTGTTTATGTATATATGTTCACATGTGTTCATGCATGCATGTATGTATGCATGCATGAATGTATGTATGCATGCATGCATGCATGTATGTATGTATGTATGTATGTATGGGTTCACATCCATATGTACATATGACTATATATACAGAGATACATATTCGGCCCTGCTGGAGCCAACATGTACCCATATCCACCGCCCGCTTGGATCCCAGGACGTCGGTTCCCCAGGCGGTGGATTTGTACGAAAAGGCGCGTCCTGTGGTCGCTTGGAGGGGGGGGGATGGGACCGGACCCCCCCCCCCTGGATGGAGGGGGGGGGCTTCGAACCCCCCCCCCTTCCCGTGACGGAGGGGGGGGCGGTTCGAACCCCTCCCCCCCCCTTTGTCGTGACGGAGCGGGGGGCGTTCGAACCCCGCCCCTCCCCCGGCTTCCCCTCTCCTCGGGCCGGCGCTCGGCGGCGGCTGGCGACGGCGGCGGGGACGACGATTTCCATTTCTTGGCTGGCGCTGGCGCCTGCGGCGGCAGGCGGCGGTGGCGGGGAGAGTCGACGAGGACGACGGTGGTGGTGGTGGTGGTGGTGGGTTGTGGTGGTGGTAGTGGTGGTGGTGGTGGTGGTTGTGGTGGTGGTGGTGTCATGATGGTTTGTTGTGGTGGTGGTTGTGGCGGTGGGTGGTGGTGGTGGGTGGTGGTGGTTTGGTGGTGTGTGGTGGTGGTTTGTGGTGGTGGTGGTGGTGGGATGTGGTGGTGGTGGAGGTGGTGGTGGGTGGTGGTGGTTTGGTGGTAGTGTGGTGGTAGTTTGTGGTGGTGGTGGCGGGTTGTGGTTTGGCGGTGGTTTGTGGAGGTGGGTGCTTGTGGTGGTGGTGTTGGCGGTGGTGGTGGTGGTGTGGTGGTTTGTGGTGGTGGTTGTGGGTTGTGCTGCTGGTAGTGGTGGTGGTTGAGGGCGGTGGTGGTGGTGGTGGTGTGGTAGATTTGGTGGTGGTGGTGGTAGTGGTGGTGGGTTTTTGTGGTGGTGGTGGTGGTGGTGGTGAGTTGTGGTGGTGGTGGTGGTTGTGGTGGTGTGGTGGTGGTTTGTGGTGGTTGTGGTGGTGAGTTGTGGTGGTGGCGGTGGTTTGTGGACGTTTGTTGTGGTGGTGGTGGTGGCGGTGGTGGTGGTGGTGGTTTGTGGTGGTGGCGGTGGGCTGTGCTGCTGGTAGTGGTGGTGGTTGTGGCGGTGGTGGTGGTGGTGGTGTGGTGGATTGTGGTGGTGGTAGTGGTGGTGGGTTTTTGTGGTGGTGGTGGTGGTGGTGGTGGTGATGGTGAGTTGCGGTGGTGGTTGTGGTGGTGTTGGTGGCTCTGGTGGTGGTGGTGGCTGTATGGTGCTTATGGTGGTGGTGGTGGTGGTGGCGGTGGTGGGTTGAGGCGGTGGTGGTGGTGGTGGTGATGATAGTGGTGGTGGTGGTGGTGGGAGTGGTGTTAATCGTCGTTGCGTCCCCGCCGTCGCCGGCGCCAGCGCCAGCGCCGCTGGCCGCCGCCAGCGCCGGCGCCGAAGGGGGGGGGGGGTGAACCCCTCCCCCCTTTGGGCTGCCTCTGGTCATCGTCGCTGCGTCACCGCCGTGGGCGCTGCTGGCGGCCGCCAGCGCCGGCGCTGGCGCCGAGGGGGGGGGGTCGGGAAGGGGGGTTTGGGGGAAGGGCCGAGTGTTGGGCGGGGGGCCCACCCCTTGGTTTGAAACGCGCCGCCGAATGTTCCCAAGACAAGCGCCCGTGAAACGCGTTCTCTCATTTGTACATGTCCCCACCTCGCACTGGCCTGGCTCTTTGCGGCCCTCAGGCGGCAGTTCCACGGCTGATAGGTCAAGTCAGAGCTCGGGCGGCTCTAGTGGCACTCGGGCAACTTCCTTGGAGCCCAATGCTGGCCTAACTGGTTTTCAGTTCCTTACTTTTTTGGCGTCGGCCTCTGAGCGTCGTGGCTCGCAGCCTTCCTGTGGTACGAAAAAGTCGCAGGGGGAATGTAGAAAAGAACAGCTATTTAGGTGTTGTGGCCGACAGTCAAGACCTAGGTGGGCGCAGCAGTGCAAAGGGCAGGCAGAAAGAAAAAGTCATACGGTGGGGGCGTTCGTGGAAGAATGCGCCCGGGAGGCCCCAGACCCTGGAGGATTCCTTATTTGATGCGGGCGGCGGTGATGATCATGGCCAAGCCCCACTTTGCGTTCCACTGGCTTGCAGGGAGGATGCGGAGGGTGGGGACGAGGAGGGGCAGGAAGAGGAATAGGAGGAGGAGGAGGAGGAAGAGGAGGAGGAGGAGGAGGAGGAGGAGGAGGGAGGAGGAGGAGGAGAAGGAGAGAGGAGGAGGAGGAGGAGGAGGAGGAGGAGGAGGAAAGGGAGGAGGAGGAGGAGGAGGAGGAGGAGGAGGAGGAGGAGGAGGAAAGGGAGGAGGAGGAAAGGGAGGAGGAAGGGGAGGAGGAGGAGGAGGAGGAGGACGAGGAGGAGGGGCATGCAGTTTGCGCCTTTCCTGGTCGCGGAGGGGGATGATGGTCGCTCCACAGATGGCCCCTCTTCACCAGCCTGGAACAGATCCCCGTCCCCATGATCGGCATCGCCTCGTCTCGATGCCGATCTTGAGGATGCCCTCAGTTTTCCAGGGCGCACCCGCACGACAGTCGTCGCCTCTCGGCGGGCCGCCTCCCTGCCCGAAGGCGCCGACGGGCCCGCCCCGGCGGCTGACGCCGCTGTGGGCCCTGAAGGCCGGGTACTGCATCGGCACCGGGGCTAACGCCTGCCTCTGGAAGTACATGGCCCACGGTGGTCGCGCCGCTCTGCCCCTCCCAGACTTATGTCGGGCCTGTCCCCCTACAGGGGGGCTTTTGACGAAAATACCCCCATACGTCCTGCGTAGCGTGTGGGGTTCAAGGGGGCGGCCCCGTACGGGGATTGTTTCGAAGTCTGTCGCGGTCTTATGTGAGTGAGTTTCTCGGGGCCTTCACGGGGCCCGTCCCGGGCCTCCCTTCCCACCTCCTGGATCGGCTCGGGTATCGCTGAGACCCAGCCGACCTCCGAAGGCCTGCTGCTCGCCCGCTGCGGCCGGCCCTCTCCCAGACGTGGCCGCGCCGTGACAGACACCACCACGTGAGGCCTCTGGCAGCCTGCGGCCTCCGCGCCTCGCCAGGGGCCCAGGGGCCGTCCAGAAGACGACTCGGGAGGAACAACACTTTTTTTTGATTCGCGGGTCGAGAGCGCACCTCTTCCGGTCGAAGCTAAGCGGGCCGCGCACAGCTTGAATTAACAAAGAGGGGGGGCAGAAGGAGGGGCCTCACGTCAAGGCCAGGAGGGGGCGAAGCCCCGGAATTGCTGAAGACGATGTGCTTGCAAAGGAACGGTTGGACAGGAACGCGGCGGCGAAGTACGGGAGGAACATAACATACCACTACTACGAATGCGCCTCGGCGGGCCGTCCACGGCCAGCAAACAAGCGATGCCTCAAAAGGCTCCCTCCTCAGAGCCTGAATCGGCGGATTCTGCATCCGACGGCGGAGAAATCCCCTCCTCGCGCCGGCGCGCCCCAAGCGCAGCTACCGAGGAACGGGGCGGGAGGGACCTCCAGGGCGTCGCGGGTGTGGGTTTTCAGTTTCGGCGCTCAGGCACCGTTGTCTGGCCTCGGGGCCGCCCACAAGAACGACTCGGTATGAAAAGCTGGCCCTGCGGGAATCTATGCCTAGATGGGGTCGGAGTAGATGGGGTCGGAGGATCCCGCCGCATCGCCGATGCATCGCCGATGCGGCTCGATGTGGAGTCCGACTTGCTTCACGTCGGCGTCGCCGATGCATCGCCGACGTCGACGATGAATCGCCGGTGCATCGCCGATACATCGCCGATGCATCGCCGATGTATCGGCGATGTATCGGCGATGCGGCGCGATCCTCCGACCCCATCTGCTCCGACCCCACCCACGAGGCCTCAAAGGAAGGGTCGGGACTTCCGGGGGGCCCACGTGGAACGCGCATGAGACACTGGATCTCTGGCGAGGGAGGCGGGGGGCCGAAGGGGCAAAGAGGATGCGGCAGAGCCCAGCTGGGCCCACAGCCTGCCAGAGCGCCGTGTGAGCTCCCGGGGAAGCCAGGCTTACAGTGTGGAGACCCATGTCAAAGGAACACCTGGCTTGCCTCCGGGGTGCCCTGGGTTTCTTGCGCTTCGATGGTTCTGCTATGGAGAGCGTGACGTTCCCACACTATGGAAAGCGTGACGATTGTTTTGCTGTGGAAAGTTTTGTTTTGCGATGGAAAGCTCTGAAAAGGGTTCTTCTGTGGCTTCGATGGTCTCGATGGTTCTGCCATGGAGAATCCCTGGACGTCCCGGGGTCTCAGGGCTGGGCTTCTTCTGGAAGGTTTCTGGTGGTCGAGCCCCTATAGCGTATGCTTCGGGTGTTGCTAGAAGTGCCCCTGGGCCAGGGTGCCCCCAGAGTTCTCGGGGTAGCTGAAATGGCCTCCAAAGCACCCCTCACGATGCCCAGAGGGCCCCAGGGGCTCCAACATGGAGCGAAAAGCTGGGGGCACCTTGGGCCAGGGGTACTTCTAGCAACACCCGAGGCGCGGCCCGGAGAGGGGCCCCCCGGGGCCCGCGGGACGCACGGAGGGATTTTTGGTGTCCTGGCGCCTGCTGTGCCCTGGAGCCGTGGCCCCTCTGCGGCGCCCCGCGGGCCCCAATATGGGGCCCCCCCGCGAGCGCGGAGGGCGCGGCCGTTGCCGTGCTCTGCGCGCTTGGGTTTGCTCCCTCACCTCCCAAGGATACATCATCATCATCATCATCATCATCATCATCATCATCATCATCATCATCATCATCATCATCATCATCATCATCATCATCATCACTAGCATCACCAGCATCACCAGCATCATCAACATCGTGATCGTCATCGTCATCGTCATCGTCATCACCATTACCATCATCATCATCATCATCATCATCATCATCATCATCATCATCATCATCATCATCATCATCATCATCATCATCCTAATCATCATCATCATCATCATCATCAGCATCAGCATCAGCATCAGCATCAGCATCAGCATCAGCATCATCGTCGTCATCATCAGCATCAGCAGCATCATCATCAGCATCATCATCATCATCATCATCATCATCATCATCATCATCATCAGCATCATCATTATCTGGTTGGGGCCCATGTCAAGAAACACCCTGCTTGCCTCCAGGGTGCCCTGGGTTTCTCGGGTTTCGATGGTTTTGCGACGGAGGGCGTGGCGCTCCCACGCAAAAAAACGATGGACGCCCTGGGGTCTTAGGGTTGGGTTTCTTGTGGAAGGTTTCTTGTGGTCGGACCCCTACTGCAGCAACGGTAACGATAACGATAACAACTTTAACAACGACAACGAGAACAACAATCCATCCCGTGCCACGCGCTCTCACTTGGTACGGCAGGAGAAAAGCATTGCTTGTTGTTATCGCTGCCTTCCCTCGCCACGGCGCCTCCCTGAAGCCTGCTGCCCGGAGCCGCTCTGGCCTTCCTGGTCACTCTTGCTGCCCAGCGTCTCTTTGGCGGTCCTCCTGGAAGCCAGCCCAGGTTAGAACCTTTCGCCACTTGCACGGGGCTGTGCGCGGAAGGCCAGTGCGCCAGTGTCCTGACGGTATCCGGTTGTCGGGCTTTCCCGGGCGAGTCTCCCTCACTGTGTGATCGTCCCCGTTGTGTTCGTCCACGCCGGGAGTCTATCCATGTCCACCGATGTGGAGGCGAGCCAGCAAGGCTCTGGGGGAGGGTCGGGCATGGATACTTCCCGGCCTCAGCGAGCGGGAAGATACCCACAGCCATCTGGCGATCGCGAACATGGATATTGAGGGGGGGGGCATTATAGCGACGGGGATCGCGAATCCATGGTTTGCGCGCCCCCGAATCCGGTCGACACCGCCACTCGAGGATCTCGGGGGCTCGTCCCCGGATCGGTGGGATCCTCGGGTGGACATCCTCGGCGCGGGATATTTTCGGCCCGTATTCTTACAGCTCGGGCGGCCAGGCCGAGACCTCCCGGCGCTCCGATTTTTTTAAGACGCGTGGGCTCCCGAGGTCTGGACCACTTCCCTTCGGATGCCACTCCTGGGAGGTCAAATTCTGAGTTTGCCAGGTCCGAAATCCAGTTCAATCCGGCTCAATGCCGCGCAATCCGGCTCAATCCCGCTGAATGCGGTTGAACCCAGCTGAATCCGCTGACTAATTCGGCGCAGTAGCCGTCCCATGGGGCTTGATTCTCCTTCACCCTTCCGACGAAGACCTCCCGGTAGTTGCCTCCTAACTTCCTAGGGCTGGTTTTCCGTCCTCACTCGTTTCTTGACGGTCCCGAGGTCCGGCGAGGGCCCCCAGAGGCCGAACGCCTCCCCAAACCAGCCGCCCCAATTTCTGCGGAGCGTCGGATCTCTCGGGGGGGTTCGTGCTGATGGCAGTTTGGGGCCCCTGTCGTCGAGGGGGGGGGGGGGGCGCGGGGCCACCGTGGGCGCATGCCGGTCTACTACCACTCCGTGCACCTGAGGAGCTTGCCACGGGGGGGAGGCCCAGGCCTCCCAAACGTCTTGGTGCATCAAGGCGCACAGTCAACCCGCACAGCAAGGGTGAGCAGCTGTCTCAGGCTACCCGTACATCCTTGCCCCTTCGGCCTATCCTCGGCAGCCCTCGCTGGCAAGCCTCGTTTGAAAAGCGTTCACGTGGCCCTCCAGGGCCCCAGCATCCTTGCCGCGCATCCTTACTATGCGGTTTGAGTGTAGGCCTTTCGCGCTTCTCGTCCTCCAAGCCCAGACCCCCTCGAGTCATGAACAAATCACGACAGGAGGTTTTTGCCATTTTCGGCCGCTTGGGGCCCTACTGGGCCTCTGGACCGTCAAACAACGATTCAGGATGAAGAGCCGGTCATAGGGAATGGGTCGGGACTTTTGGGGGTCGACGTCCTGCACACATCATGACGTCGGGGGTTTGGGTGGGCAGCTTTCGTTCTCTATAGGGCCATAAAAAAAACAATCCAGGCCGAGAAGTTTGTCCCTGAAAGGGCTTCGGACAACTCGGGGCGGCGGAGGTCCGGGGAGTTAGCTCCTGAGGCAGGGGGGTCCTCCGTGCGCTCTAGTCGCGCGCGCCCCCCCTGGTCATGCATGCAGGTTGCATTGTGTCCCAGACAGTCAACCTGCACAGTAAGGATGGGCAACCTTCCCAAAAAGGGTACCCTTACATCCTTGCCCCTTCGGCCCATCCTGAGCGACTCGCTGGCCAACCTCGTTCAGAAAACGCCAACGTGGGTCACCGGGCGCGTTCCACTATTCGCAAAGTGCCTACTCGCAAACGTCCGAAAAGTACGTCTTCCTCTCTATGTGATGTATCGTAAATCCCCCGCGGCGGATCCAGGCCATTTGCGAGCAGTTACTTTGCGAGTCGTGGAACGCGCTTGTCCAGGGTGGAACGCGCGCGCCGATGACGGTCAGATCTGGGGCACAGGTGGGCCCAGAAACTCTTGCGTTCCCCGGCCTTCGCCTCCGCGATCGCCGCCAACGTCGAACTGTTTTGCCTCTTGGCGCGCCACCGCCTGCTGAGGCGAGGCATCCGTCATGCGGCCAGGCCCCAGAGAAGCCCCAGGGAAGCCCATGACTCCCTCTTCCTCGGGGCACCCCTTCCAATTCTCGGCACAGGAACTCCCAGATGGGGCTCATCCTGTGCCTCAACCCCGCCCTGCGGTTCCTGGCGCAGCAGGCTGGCACAGGGTAGAAGTCAGGGACGCCCTCTCTTGTCTGGAGGTCGTCGGAGGAGGGGGGAAGAGGAGGAGGAGGAGGAGGAGGAGGAGGAGGAGGGAGGAGGAGGAGAGGAGGAGGATGAGGAGGGGAGGAGGCGGAGGAGGATGGAGGAGGATGAGGAGGAGGAGGAGGAGG